TGTTGTTGTTACTGTTCTAAATCCAGTGGCGAAGGCAGCAGCTGCTACGGTTCCTGCGCTGTCCTTGTCTGCCTTCTCGCCGCCCTGGAGGTGTCGTGATCCAGCACGCCATTCCCCTCCGGTGCGCTGCTTTGGCATTTTGGACGGAAACAGCGCCGTTTTCCTTATCTTGCATTAGAAATATTCAGGAGTGGGAACGATTTGCAGAGCAGATGAATACACACACGCGGGGGTGGGGGTGGAAAGGACCTGCGTTTTCCTTACCTGATAGGCGTCCAGTTGCTCCGGAGTAAACACGGTTTGTTTGTTACCCATTTCGGCACCCCGCGCCTCGTCCCATACCTCCTTCCCCGAAGGCGGCGGCAAGCTGCAACAATCGGTCTTTCTCTGAGCCTGGCGAGGATCAGGTGTCCGCCTGCTGTGCTCCACAGAGCTCCGGATCGGAGCAGGGCCAGGTCATGAGCTCTGGAGCCCCGCGCCGCCCACCTGCGGCCGGCATCCCCGGGCCAAGAAGATCCAAGGGCACTAACTGCCTCGAACAACGCCGGGCGCTGCTCAACCGGGGGCCCCAGGCATAGGGTGGGGCGAGCCCAGCTTAAAGACATTGCCTGGTCGTTCGCTTCCCGGGGGCCAGAAGGAACCCCTGCCCACGCCTCGCTTGCCCTCAGCACCTCCCCAAGTGGCCCAAGATAACGGTACTTCTCAAGCGCAACCCCCCCCCCCCGCCGCTTCCTTCCCCCAAACTGTTCTCCGGAGAACGCGCGGAACTCTTTCCACCGGCCACACATAGCTGGTTAATCGCTCCCGAGGGAAGTCGAGCCACGGCGCGCTCCGGCCACATCCTCGCTGACCTGGAGGCGTCTCGGCACGGCCCGCAAGGAAATAAGTCCCACGCTGCCCCCGAACGCCAGTCTCAGCCCTGGGAACTATTAAACGTTCGTTGTTCCTGCATAAAATTACTAGGGCCTTGGTACTGAGTACCGAACTCCAGCGGGATGAATCATAGTTCTGTGCCCTGAAGTCAAGTCGACTTAGGGCAACGTACCGTTTTTGCAGGAGACAGCAGTTAGTCCCTCGGTGCTGTTCGTTCACAGGTAAGACCCGTTCTTTTAGTCAAGAAAAATAGCTGTTGTATGTGTGTTATGTGCCATCAAGTCGGGACTAATGGCAACCCTTAACTGGGGTTTCATGGTAAGTCTATTTTTTTTTCAAGTTCAACCACCACCACCCTCCAGTGAGTTTCCATGGTTGATCAGGGATTTGAACCCAGGCTGCCCAAGTCCTAATCGTAATTCTGCCCACTGTACCACACTGGGCAAACTCATTTTCTTAGAAAGGTGTACAGTATGTGTGCTTTATCTTTAAAATATGTTTTAAATAGTTTTTGCTGAGCAGTTTTTATTATAATCCATATAACTGCTTTTATTATTGTAATTTATTGCATTTTAGCTCTTTTAACAGTTTTTTAAATCCATTAGACACTTTGGATTCCTTTATTGTTTTTCCTGATGGCCAAGAGAAGCTACTAAGGATTAAGACAATAGGATATGTGCCCGCAGGTGGGATGAGAAAGTGCAATTTCTTGCAGAATCTACAAAACTACAACCCTCCAGTACTTCAGACAGTGCAGCCAACTATAAAATGAAAGTGACCCACCTCCTGCAAAGGCACCACAAGAACTAGACATGCACACTGACAGACAGTTTTTAAAGTTGTGTGCTATGAAACTGATTCTGATTTACAGCTGCCCTCCCAGAGTTCTCTTCAAGTGGTTTACCAGCCTCATTTCTTCCCCTCTGCTAAAATTAGGATATGTCACCCACTACTTACCCCATCACTGGGGCAGTGGTGGCGCTGCAGGTTAAACCACAGAATCCTCTGTGCTGCAGGGTCAGAAGACCAGCAGTCATAAGATCGAATCCATGTGATGGAGTGAGCTACCATCACTTGTCCCGGCTCCTTCTAATCTAGCAGTTCAAAAGCATGTAAATGCAAGTAGATAAATAGATACCACCTCAGTGGGAAGGTAATGGTGTTCCGTGTCTAGTTGTGCTGGCCACGTGACCATGGAAACTGTCTTCGGACAAAACGCTTAGGGTTAGGGTTATAACTAAAAAGTTATAAGAAGGATGGGAAGAGTCTCTCAGGATGCTATGTGATTTCCTTAGACAGCGGGATGTGAAGATGTCATCCAGGGTTGGTAGCTGGAACCCGATGATATTCTGGGCAATTTTAATGGTTCTCTGTAGAGCTTTTTTGTCCGCTACAGAGCTACTCCCAAACCATGCCAGAATGCCATAGGTTAGGACATTCTCAACGGTGCTACGATAGTATGACAGAAGTAAATGCTGAGATAAATTTAACTTGCCGAGCATTCTCAGGAAATACCACCTCTTCTGTGCCTTCTTCACTAGCATGTTGCCATTTATAGTCCATGAGAAGTCCTCTGAGATGTAAGTGCCCAGAAATTTAAAATTTCAGGAGTCAAGAACCTGTGCTGCTTTTAAGCTCTTGAGTTCCCCCTTTAGGCATTTGACGGGGGACTCCTGGATTACTTCCAAGGAGGGGGAGCCATATTCTTCAGGCTTTCCCCACCGAAATTCCCATGGCTGTAGTTGAGGCGGGGAGGACCGGTTTTTCCATAAGAGGATCAAGAGTACCAAGCTGTTAAAGAAGACCCAGGCACAGTAAGCGAAAAATAGAAAGAAAGAAAAAAAGAAAGAAAAAGAAAAAAAAGAAAGTGTGCTGCTTATATACCGCCCCATAGTGCTTCAAGCACTCTCAGGGTGATTTACAAGTTAATTATGCAGGCTACACATTGCCCCCACCCAGCAAGCTGGGT